TGATGAAATTCGTTGCCAACGCTTTTAAAAGTCGATTTTTATCGATTTTATCGATTCGTTGTTGCAGCCCTAATATAAACATCTTATGGACTTGGATACATGCACAACATCTAAGGTTAAAAACAATCTGGGGAATGTGAACTAGGAATAACTATTACGGATCAGCAATGGGAAAAGACGGTATCAGCTATTCGGTTTAGTACACCGGTTTCAACTTTAAATTTAAAGTATTGTACAGAGTCCATTACTCTAAGTCACACCTGTCAGAAATGTTCCCAGAGATAGTAGGTAAATGTGATGGATGTCATACAAGCCCATGTCACCTGAGCCACATGTTCTTTTCGTGTCCGACACTTCATGATTTCTGGAACCAACTTCCTTATATTTTATCTAAAGCCTTCAAAACTAAAATTGATATAAATCCTTATTTAGTTATTTTTGGTGTCCCAGTAAAGTCTATCTTAACGGATCCTTTTCACACCAAATATTGACTTTTACATCCTTTAATGCCAGACAAAAAATTAAGCTTTCTCCTAAAGCACCTTTAATATCTCAGTGGTTTCACAATGTTCTATCATTTCTTAAAATGGAGAAAATACATTTTGCAATGAAAAGAAACAAGTAAATATTCAAAAAATAAATAGGATTCCTTTATGGAATATTGTTAATCGCTTCAGAACTTGCCTTCAGAATAATACCCCCACCCCTTCTCTGTGCACAGGTTTGTGTTTTTGTGAGTTTATTTAGATTTTTGTCGATTCAATACATGTGTGTTATATGTAATGGCCTTTAGATTTGGTTTGACTTAAAGTTTGCCCATTGAGAAAATGATGAAATTTTTGTATTTTCTTGATGTAAGACCTGTTTCCTCAAATATATATATATATATATATATATATATATATATATATATATATATATATATATATATATATATATAAAAGATAACCAAGACAGAACAAAAATATTTAAGTCTCTCACTATCTCTGCCCATCATTCTGAATTTAAAAAGAGAAATTCTTGATTGTCTGGCGGGACAGTAAGAACATTAATCAAAGAAGAGGCACAGAGGTTGACTATACATCTAGAAAAGCTGTAAAAACCAAGAGCTACTTCTGTTGACAGTACAACTAATACTTGTTTGTAACAAGCAATCAATATTTATACATGTTTTCTATAAGTAAAGAGAAAAGTAGGAGAAAGTAAACATGTGAGACCCTTTGATTAATGTTGTGGCAGAAACTAACACCCCTCTGAAAACACATGAAAGCATGGTGGAAGCAGTATTATGCTAAGGGTGAAAACTTTTTGCATTTTAATTTATTTTTTTAGCTGTGATTTTCTCTCCACTTTACAAACGCAAACCAATTTCCATCCATCAATAACTAAATATACAGAAATATATTATAGTCTGAAACTATTTGAAAGAAAATGAAAAGTTCAAATAGTTCACTTTATATTTTGTTTTTATTGGCTTTATTTATTATAATTTAGTAATTTGCTTTTAAAAAGTTTACTTTTGCGTGTTTTAAACTTGCGTTATTTATTTCTGCCTCTTTTATGTGATTATCACTTCTGTTTCTGATTCCCAAAGTCTGGTAAAAACCTGAAATCTAACTGCGTTTTTGGCATTAATTGCTTTATTTGATGGAATAAGTTATCAAAGGTTTCGCACCGCCTGTCATACTTTGCATTTCCATGGTGAACTTTAGTGAAGAGACGTGTGTCCTCAAAAGGTTGCGCGTTTTGGGCGACAAATCAGCCCAACAAATGCGGCTGTAGTTTGAAGCGGGGCCGTTGGTTTAACTTTTTTTGAATTTATATGCGTCGTTTTTCTCTTGTTTTCGAAGCCTCGGTCCGAAATAGCGGAAATTTCCTACTGAAATCGGACGCAGAGAGTGCACCTTTGCGCAGAGGCTGGTTTCATACCGAGTGGCTCCTCTGGGTGCACAAAGACAGCGGCTCGGAGAGGAACTTGTTCAGAGAGAACCGGGGACGCTGGGAGGCGAGATCCACAACCTCCGGAGTCCGAGCCTCAACAACCGCGGTGTTTACCACCTAAAACCCTTTATTCTGCTTCCCACCTTTACGTTACAAGGTAAGGAGCTGTTTTAGAAGCGTTTCAGCGGGAATGGAGAGCTGCGGAGCGGGTTAAATCCTCTTCGCTCTGGCTTCCCGAGCGTGGTTGTTTTTGCAGAAAATGGCGTCATCGCCCTCTTGTTTCTGCTTGGCCGCGGCGGGCAGAGGAGTAGTTTCAGGGACTTGTAGCAGCACACCGACGAAGCGCCCACTTCCTCGAAGGCGTAAATCGCGTACTTCGACGTCTTTTATTCGATAATAAAGCGCTGGACGGTGGAAATGTTCGCGTTTTGGCCCCGTGGAAGGACGCGCAAAGATGGAAGGGTCACCGGTCCTGTGCGCCAAGCTGCTTCTTGGAAAAGGTGGCACGGAGCCGCAAAACGCAGCGTTTTGCACCGACTCACGGCTCATCCAAAAGACCTCGGACGGTTTAGCGTCATCCCCACGACGTTGATGGATGTATTTGTGGCGGATCCGCATCGGATCTTTGTGTGTAAATCACTCGGGTTAGCTCGGTTTTACGCCGCACTCCCCTGCCATGCTGCAATCGTTCCGAGGGGCCTCTCTCTCACACGGCTTGAAAAGGTGCATTATATCCTTGGCGTTTTCCTGTGATCAAATAAAGCTGCTCCTTTGTTGTTGGGAATAGCAGCAACAATATAAGCGTGTAAAAGGAGATTTTCGTGGGGGGGTTATATTCGGGGGGGTGCCATGAGAAACGGCGACCTGCCCCTGCGCTCTGGATTTTACAGCTGAACCAAACGAGGACATGCTGAATGAGGTGGAAATAAAAAGTCCCCTGGATGAATCGCAGACTTTTTTTCTCTAAACTGCATGGGGAAGTCCAGGCGCTGCGCAATGATTGTGTTGCTTTGCGCAGAGAAACGGTGGCAGCTGCTGTAACCGCCGCGGAGCGTTTCAACGCGATCTGTTTCTTTTTTTCTCCTCTTTTCGGCTCGTTGTTGGCCAGCCTTTTGTAAATAGTTGAGGACTCTAGGATAAAAGAGCACAATAGTATTCAAGCGGGCCCTTTATGGCCTGTGAATGTAGTCCTAAGTCCCCACTCCGACAGCTACGTGTATGCGTCCTCGCTCTGGCCACCACACATCCAGCACAGCGAGGCCACTGGGTTTGCCTGTGCATCCGCTCTGCTTTAGTTCCTCCTGTGCCACAGAAGTGCGCTGCAAACGCAGGTGAAACCCGCCTTCCCCGTGCACATTTTTATTAAGTTTTGAGAGTTATGCAACCTGATCGCCGCTTCACTAGCCCGAAACCCCATCATCGGATGGATACGTTTGCGTCAAATAAGAGGGAAATCGGAAAGGATCGCGCGGAATTATAACCGATCTGTCATTTGCAAATCACCCAGTGTCATTTGCGTCACAGCCCGCGGGCCTCTCACGCCCATGGGGGGCGATGGAGTTGCAAATGGAGAATGTTTGTGTGTGCTGACGCTGCCCCATCTGAAAAGGGAACCAATAGACGCGAGGAGCGGTCGCCAGTGCGCCGCCAGTCCAGGGCAGTGCACCGGCGTGGGATTCCGTATCAACGCGGAAGATCATCCTGGTTTGCTGGGCTTTCCATCGCTCTGGTCGGGATGCGTAAGCGGATACTAAACCTGCTACGGAGGCCAGTCGGAGAGGAGAAGCACATATCTGTCCTGTTCTCCCCTCATGGTGATCGGTGCATGTGGCCTCTAAGAAGACGCTGGATCCACATGATCGCGATTATATGGCCGTAAAGCCTTTATTACCAGAGAGATGACATGGATGTTTTATTACTCGAAACTTGGATCGCTCATTTTTCATTTAAATGTCCGGTATGTTTGTTTGATTCGCGACGTGCCACAAGTTTCTGCTGTGAAAATGAACGGGGCGCTTTTTATCCAGGAAGGTTGTACTTGTTGTCGATGCGCTTTTGGGAACTGCGCATGGTTTGAACAACTGAACCGAAAAGGAAGTGGGAAATCTAGAAATTCTCCAACGCAAGTTTATTTAAACATGGCAATCTGATTTCAAATAACAAGATGCAGACATATGTATTAATATATAGTTGTAACAGTTATGCTGTATCTTTTTTCTAGCTTTAGCCTTAAACTTTAAACCTATATGTTGTGACAATTGGTGGGGAAGGAAACTCACTTTGCATCCTCTGAATATAATTATTGAACTTGAACTTTATTCATGTTATGGCCTTAAGTCATAATTAATGTTATTGAATGTTTAATGGAAACAGAAATTAGCATTAAGTTGCCTGATTTTATGCAAATCAAATCTAAAAAGTGTGGCATGCATTTAACCCAGCTATTTTAACCTTTAAGCTCCTAAACAAGATACAGTGCAACCATCTCCCCGCAGAGGTCTCCAAATAAATCCATCTGTAATGTAAATAATCTCAATTTAATTACAGTTCTTATTACTTTACTCAACAGATATAGTCATAAATACAAAAAACAAGGGATAAACTTGAGGAAAGTTTAAAGCAGGGTTGAATTATAAATCATAATTGAGTGGAAAGAGAGTTTCACTTTTCCAAACTTACCAAAACATCTGGATTAAACCTATAGAAACTTGGTCTGTTTCCAAGCCATGTAGAGGACACTTCAAACAAGTTGAAGAAACAAAAAGATAAGTTGAACTTTTTGACTTTGCCCCAATGACTATATTTAACAGAGAAAAAGAAACACTGCACATCACCTCCATTGTGAAACATTGTGGTGGCAGTAGCATGCTGTGGGGATGGCTTTTCTCACCATAGACAGGGAATCCAACCAAAGCTGATCAGATGGGTGGAGCTAAATACTTGCAAATCCTGGAAGAAAACCAGTATTAGGAGGTAGTAAGGCTTTTTATCCTGAAGCAGCTAGATCGAAAATTAAATGTTTTAGATCCAAAGTTGTTTATTTCTTAGAACAGTTCAAAGTCCAAGCCTAAACCTGTGGCAGGACCAGGTTTTGCTGTCATAGACACTCCCTTCATGTCTTATTAACGTCTGACTATTTTGAAAAGAAGAATAACAAACAAGTATATCTTTTAAGTATTCAGAGCTGGAAGAGGCACACTTTAAAGACTTGCAGCTTTAATTGCAACAAAAAGTAGTTATCCAAACGGCTTGCTCACTGAACAGAATAATGATGCATTTTCAGATGTATTTAGATTTTTAATAGTAAACTATGTTAAAAATGCATTATTTTCCTTTTATTCACAATTATTTGCTGAAAGTCTGTTGTATCAAATCTCCTAAATATATTGGAGTTTGCAAATATAGTATGATACCATTTGGAGAAGTCTGTACTCTTGCATTCTTGGTGTAGGATTCTTAGCTTGAACTATGACAGAGAGAATCAATTTAGCTTGATAGAGGAAATTGGACATGTGACGTAATAAGTAGCAACATGTTTTTAATTTGTAATGCTGATACTTTATTTGCACTGTTTATATTTTTGCTAGAATTAGCTGACCTTTTTTCCCCCTTTGGTTAAGTTGATTGCAGCAAGGACGTCCTGCTTCTTCTTGGCTTAAGTCTCTAAGTCATCAGTATTTGGTTTGCAGCAGTCCACTGATGTCATTGTGTGATTCAGTCAGTTTAATGATGTATTATTGGGTTCAGTCACTGAGTCAGCTTGTAAGGCCCAAGTGTGGGTGAAGTAATTCAACAAGCCTGTTAACCTACTGGTCCCAGAACTAGTCTGCAAAGCAAAGAGAAGCGCATGTGGTGAAAGATCCACTCAGCCAGGCAGATAGAAAATCAGCATCTGGCTCTCAGTTTGTAGGTCAGCTAATTGTTCAGCCTGCACTCTAATTAAACAGCCGAGCTGGTCTGATATGCCACTGTGTCGGTGGTGAAGGGGAATTTTAGTTTTTGTTACAACTTAAAACTCTGTTGCAAAAATGGCTACTTTTTTCTTCCTAGCGATAGAAGTTAGAGAACTTCTTCTCAAATCTGCTGTCAGAACAGTGATATGAATTATTGCTGCTTTCTTTGCTTTTTGATATTCTTAAAATACAGCGTCTGTGTTTAATTTATTTCGGTGTGAATTCTTATTTTTTTTTTTTTCTGAACTGTGAATCCACACCTGGCCTGAAAATGCCCATTATGCACATCCCAGGGCTATATTTATTTAAATGTGTCTGCGCTCCTCTCATACATCCTCTGCTGCTGCATCTCTTTATGTTGCTCTAATATGCTGGATTTAGTGTAAATCACCTCAACAATTTTTGCAGTTTTTATGCAACTATCATGATAAGTTCCAGCATAAGTCTGTTTATGTGATAGATCCCCAATATTCCGTCTCTACGTTTTTCTTCTTAATCATATGATAAAAGTAAAAACAAAAGAGCTGACTTTGAACTTTCTTGAGACTATCTCTTTCAGTAAAGTGAACTTTGATCAGATAAAAACGGAAAGTTAAAGAAATGTGAGGATCATGTGACCAATGATACTCGGTAGTTTAAGTTGGTGTACACCTTTTATCATGGACTCCAGTTAGATGCATGCGTTTTTTATGGGATGGGGCTCTAATGATCACAAGGCGGTTAGTTTTATTTCAATTTACCTTGAATATTAAACACAGTAATTGGATACAAATATTCTGAGTTTCCACAAACTTTTTGTTTTAAAGGACTTGTTTTGTTTCATATAACAGCTATAAGACAAGTTCAGAAATTTAAAGCAATTTTCAAGTTAATGTGCTTAAATGTATCCCATTTTACTTCTCGGAGAACACTTTAATACGTGTTTAGGAACCAGTTGGATCAACTAATGATTGTTCATGATTCAACTTCTTAAAACTAAACAGTCACCTTCACACAAAAAGAAAAAATGTTGATGGGACAGCAGCACTGAGGTCCAGCATGAAATAAGTCTTAAGACAACATAAGACTGGGAAGGTGCTGACCAAAGCAGACATGTTGAGCTGCTCAAAGAGACAAGTTGGATGTCTTTTTGAGAAAAGTTTCATTTTCAGACAAGGATCAAGTTTTTGCCCTTAGTAACAACTAATGTGCTTTAGTAGGTTAC